GTGTGGTGATTGAGCTCCAGTGCCAGGTCGCGGCGGCCGGCTATGTGGAGCCGCTTTCCACCGTACACACCAACATTGTCGTCGACGGCCGCGTCTGCGGCGTCCCAGCACAGCCCGTGGCTGGCCCCGATGCATCCCGGTTGCCGACGAAGGAAGAGGCCCGCCGCTTCCGCTGCAAGGCATCGGCCCTGGCGATGGGCTACTGGTGTCTCTTGCTTCCAAAAGCAATGATGCCCTTCCTGGGCCTACTCTTTTTGCAGCTGCACCCTGGCTGCCCTGTAGCGTCATGAGTCAGCATCTTCCCGTGCTCAGGGACCACACGCACAAAGACCGAGGCTTTGCGACTATCCCTTCAACCCGCCTGAACGCATTGAAGAACGCACGATGCACGTCGAGCACGCAGCCTCTTGGACAGAAGCAAAAGGCCAGCAATGTCTCTTGTCTTGGCCCAGAAGTCAGATGAAGTCAGGACGTCCTACCACCGGAGCTCTTCAGCATGTTCCAGTGGGTTCCGCTCATCGCATTTGGAGCGCCGTGTTTGCAGGTGGCCGCGCTTTCTGTGCAGACCACATCACTGCAAGCCGAGGTCTCAATGGTCAACACAATCGGACAGCTCGCCGGCACAGCGCTGCTGTGCCGATTGCTGCCAAAGGTGAAGCCTCCATGCACCTACTCCTTGTTGAGCCTTCGGGCCCAGATTGCGGCTCTCAAGATGTCGATGGTCCTTCAGGCGTCGGATTGAGGAGATTCTGCTTATGTCAGGAGGCTTCGAAACAGCATGAAACAGCCTCCACCCGGCAGGCGTCGGAAATGCTGGCCGATGCGTCCATCGTGCCGGCGTTCATTCGCCTCTGCGGAGCCACTTTCGGCCACGGTTGTGCCATGGGCCTCCAGGCCAGGAGCTGAAATTGAAGCCCCCCGGCTCTACCTGCGGAATCGTGTGGAGGTCACGCTCCCGGAGACCTTGGTGGTCGGCAACCGTTGCTTCTTTGCCACCGGCAACATCTTGACTAGCGTCGACGTGGACCGCGGAGAGTTCAAGGTGCCCTGTGTCACTTATATGAGCCGCTTGGATCGCCCTTTTCGTGCAAAGAAGTCACGCTTTCAATTCAGTCTTGTCGGCCCCGCATCGCGCCGATTCGCGCCGCCTGTCTGCTTGAGGTGATCACACCTTCCTTGGCAACCACAACCACCTGCCCCAAGGCCTTCCAGAAGGCAGCTTCTGCGGCGTGGGCACCTGGCTGCCCGAAAGACCCACCGAGCCGCACTACAGCTACTTCGGGAATCCGGCGATGAAGTTCAAGCGCCTGAGCAGCCAAGCTGCCGGCAAGACTAACCAAGGCCCAGAGCCCGCCAGTTGCCTGGCACGCTTCTGGCATCACTTTAGCACCAGCGTCCTGGACGTCTTCCTTTACCGAGGGGTTCAAGGAGCCGGTGCCGCATTGCATTCACTTCTAGTTTCGTTCTCTTTCAGAGGCTTCCTTCATCCCACTTTCGGTGCGTCGGCAGTCCCCTCCCGGAAGGAATGGTGACCGGCGCTGCCTTCGTGGTGAGCCGGACCAGCGTGCCTGACATCACCTCCGTTTGGCAGCTCCTCGAGGTCCTGGCTATCTACTTGGTCTTCTCATTGGGCTCCTGGTTCATCTTCTCTGTCTTGCTGGGCAACATGCTTTTCAACGGCAAGGCACCGCGCAGCAACGAGCCCTGGCTGGACTAACTCCGGTTCAAGTCCTCACAGGTCCTCTTTCGAGTTTTGGTGTGGCGACATATGGCCACTGTCCAAGGCGTACTACTCTACCGCTGTGACGCGATGGTTCACTGCCCTCACGGCCCAGCAGCGAGTCTTCAAGCTTCCCTTTCAGGCGCACGCACAGTGGCGCTCCCAGCTTCGGCTTGTCATTTTAAGTCGTTGAATCGATGATGTTGATGGCAGACGGCTGGCAGCTGTTGGCAAGCTCCGATCCTGCGGCTGCTGGGTGCCAAGATTGGTCGGCGGTTCTTCTGCATGCACCCCGGGCCAGACTTAACGCAGCGAGGTTTCCCGTTTTCTAGCCAGGTGTGCACCAGGACGGGAGATGCCATGGCCACCACTGGCCATTTTCATGCGTCTTGAAAGTGTGTATGTGTGTAGATTGTAATCATTGTCAGTCTGAGGAACGAGCTCGTCCTGGTTGATGCGCCTTTCACAGACATCGGAGACGATGTGACGGTGGACTATGATGGCCAGGTGAGGTGTCATTCATTCGAGGAGCGCTGCAATGTAGGGCTTTGCTTGCCAAGTGCACTCTAACAACTCTATTGCGCCTGCAAGTCCCAGATGCCCCGCAGCCCTTTTGCGCCGCCACTGAGATTCTTTTGGATTTGAGTAGAATTTCGAGCGTTCGGGGCTTTCTTTTACTGCAGCATGTCTCTGTAATTGTTGGACTGTTGGCGAGTTGTCTTGATGTTGCGCAAGGCTTTAGCCGTGTCGAACTTGCTATTTGCGTGTTTCGACTTTTCGTGACTTGTCTCGACCTACTTGTAGTTGGATTGTTCTTCTCACGACGATGAGCGCTCACCCGGAAATGCTTTTCGAGACCTTTCTTGCCGTTGCCTTGGATTTCGCACCACACAGAAAAAGAGCAGATGTAGAATTGTAGTGAATTGCAGTGCAGAACGTAATGGTCGTCGTCCTCCTCGTCGTCCTGGGCGAGTTGGTTTCAGTGGTACTGTACTCGCATTCGCCTCTTCTTTTCTATCACATGCTGGAGTGGCGGCGTTCGTTGTAATAGCGGTCGCTTTTCCATCGCCGGTGGCCGCCGTCGTCGTTTCAGCTGTATAATGGCAAAGGTGCAATATCTGCTGTTGCATGCCGTTGCGACCGATGAGAGTGTGCCGTCGCCCCACAGATCCATGCGGGCATTCAGCCTGCTCAAGCACAGTGAACGGCTATAAACAAATCAATCTCGGTACTATCAATGCAGGGCCCGTTGGGCATGTCAGTCGGGTAGATGCTCTGTTCGCCCGGGTCCGGGTCACCGGAAGGACTTCCGCCTGAAGTTCACCCACTACAAGATTGGAAATGGGGTGACCATCATGACCGGGGCCAGTGTTTCTTGCTGCCACTTCCGTCCTTGTATGACCTGAAAGCCTTATGCACGCCGCCTGCGCAGAGTAATGTGGACGGNNGACGGTCCAGTGCCGACAAAGGTTGCGATGTGCGATGCCGGAGACGGCTCGACGCTCCGACCCGGAAGCCTGACCTGGAAAGGCCACACCGGTGTCGAATGCATTGAAGTTAGAAGTGCTGATATCGTCCGACATGATGCGAGACATGCAGCTCCTTTCAGTCCGCAGCAAATGGCATGAGCCATGAGCACTCTTGAGCAACCATCCGCTTCCTCCCCTTCAGGAAGCAACCTGGTGCCCGGCGGCACCTACGAAGGTGCAAAGCATTGCAAAGCTGTGCAGAGCTCCTAACTACCCGCAGACATGGCAGAACCTCAGAAACCAGAGACTTAGAAAGCATTTCCTACTGTAGGCTTACCTTGACGTGGCTCCTTGGCCCAACTTTGTCAGGTGCTCCTGCAGCGGCGGTGGGCGACGTTGAGCAAGGAATATGGTTATCAGATACTGGTATCAGTTTTGGTTTCAGTATGTCACAGTCAAAAGGGCATTATGGAGGCTTTCACTGGAACCTTGGTCCTAGGAAAAGTTGCCTGCACTAGCAAGTCGAGCCCTGTGCATCCCTGTGCGCTTGCAGGACCGACTCTGCTTCAACGCCGTGCAGTTGCAAGAGACGCGAAGTAAGGCCCAGAAAGATCACGGACTTTTTTGTTTCAGAGATTCGGCTGCCTGATGTGTCTGTTTGGAGCAGCGTGCTGAATCCTGCATAGATGTCATGTGCCATGTTAATTCGCACCCGTGTACAGAGCTGTTGGCCCTTCCTTGACATTCGAGGAAAGAGCGATTTTGCATGCAGGCGAGTGACTGCCAGGTGAGAACTATCTGGCCAAGCTCTCCGACAGGATAGTTTTGCCGAAAGTGTGCTGAGAAGCCCTTCTTGAACTGGACGGCGGCGCTGTACAGTCTTTCTTGCTGCATGTGAAGTGCGCGCAGCCGCCTGACCCGGCCGAAGGACGGGCATCCCACTAATCTCGAAAACTCGACCGAAGGATGTGCAGGGCATCACCGAGGGGTTGAGGTGGAAGGCCCGAAATGAGTCGATCAACGCAAGTGCCAGTTACGGCAGCTGAGCCTTAACTTCCTGTTTCGGACTCTTGTATACATGGTTAGTGCAACATGTCCAAATTCGTGATTGGGGTTGGGGGGGCTAGGCCGCTAGGAATTGTGAGCCATGCCTCCTGGACGGCGAACTCGCCTGGTACCCCACAACTCATGTATCAGTTCCATGATAGTTCCATGCAGTCAGGACATGTTGGAGCTTGTTCTT